CAGTGAGCTGGAGGACCTCGACGCCCGGGTGGCTAGAGCAGAGAAAGAAGAGGAGAAGACAGGTGGGATTTTCAAGGTGCCTCTGTTCTATAAGGCCGCCTGGACATCTTAGGGGGTTAGACGTCTGGGCTACGGAGCCGGAAGTTGGGGGTTCAAATCCCCCACTGGGCCTCCTGGGAGAAGAGCCAGCCTGGGTGGCCTTGGGCGAGCGGCACAGTCCTCCCAGGACACCCCATTCAAAAAAAAATGGAGTGGCCGGACACTTCTGTATCTTCTCCAGCTAAAACATCCCAAAAAGGGTTTCTGCCAGTCATAATTGACTAGACGGCCCAGGATGCGGAGTATGGCTCGTGAATTTGCATTTGGGGGTGTGTGCGAGAAAATGAAAAAGACCTCGGATGGAGAATGAGACAACCGAAATAAAAGGAATTAGGCTTTCTTACTCTTGCTCCTGTTTCGATTACCTCTTCTATCGTTCCAGGTGGGACGGTGTCCTCCGGCGACTGTCTCGGGGAGAAAACGCTGAGCCCGGGGGCCAGGAGACTCGAGGCTTTGAAAAAGCAGCTTCAGATCGAGCTGAAAGTGAAGCAGGGCGCGGAGAACATGATCCAGATGTATTCGGGGGCGGCCAAGGTGAGCAGAGCAACCCCAACTTAGGAGGGCTTCGTGGACGGTCTTGGCTGGGCAGAAAGGCCATTGAGAAGACCTGGAGTTCCCCGGCAGCCGATTCCCACGTTGGGAGCCGGGAATCCCCCACCGCGGTTTTCACCCCTCTTTTCTCGCCAGGAACGGAAGCTGCTGGCTATGGCTCAGGAGATGCTGCAGGACAGCAAGACCAAGATCGCCCTGCTCCGGATGCAGATGGTCAAGATGTCCCGATCCTTAGAGGGGACGGAGTCTGCTCTGGAGCAAACGGGTCAGTGGCCGGGGGGGTTGGAACCCCTGGAGCTTAGGGTCCAGACCTGGAGTGGGAACTCTATGTGTTGTTTATGCAGATGCTGGACCTCCCAGCCTAGGAAAAAGTTGACAGATCCCTCCCAAAACTCTCAAGTGATGGCTCGTTGCTTTTTTTTCCACCTGTGGGGGGGGTTTCATGGGTAGGAAATGGAGGACCGCTCACCCCTCTGGAGCTTCAGGTGGAGGAACTGCGCCATCGCCTGCGTGTGGAAGCTGCCGTGGCCGGCGGGGCCAAAAACGTGGTCAAGATTCTGGGCGGGCGGCGGGTACAGGACCGGAAGATGCTGGCCGAGGTAGGGACAATGGCCAGCCAGAAAGGGTGGGGAAGGGATCCGCGTGTCGGGTTGGAGGGACGATAGAGGAGAACCTGCCGGACGTGGTGGTTTCTTTTCGTCTCTCCTCCTTCCAGGCCCAGGCTTGCCTGCAAGAATCTGCGCAGAAGATCGACCTGCTCAGACTTTCCCTGGAAAACCTCCTTGGCAAGCTGGGCCCGGATCACCCTAAGCGAGCGCTGGTGAAGCAGGATCTGGTCCACGCGTTCTCCCTGGGTGCTTCGCCGGGTAGCGGGATTCAGCCCCTTCTGTCCTGGATCAAGCCAACGGCTCTCACGGGTAACTTGCTTTGTAGGAGTTAACCGTGGGGAACCCCTTATCCGCGGGATCGGTATCCACTGATTCCTTTTTTCCCCCTGCTCTGAAAATATTACTTAAAGAGATTACCATTCCTTTTGTGCGGTGAGGTTTGTTTTATCCCTGGGTTGTCAAAAACAGTTGTTTTTGCTACCTCCACGACATGAGCGGGTGGCCTGAACAGAATCAGAAGGTCCCAAACGGGGATCTTTAGCCGTATCTGGACTCCAGGTCCCAGAATCCTTAGCTGCAGGTTGTGTTGGCTGAGGTGTGATGGGCATTGTAGTCCAATAATATCTTAAGGACCCACAATTGGGCACCTCTAGTTTTAGACGGGGGATGTTGGATTGGATACCTCTTAATTCTTTGTGAGTGTATCCGTGTGTGTGTGTGTGTGTGTGNGTTGGGCATCTCTAGTTTTAAAAGGGGGGATGTTGGATTGGGTACCTCTTGATTCTTTGTGAGATTATCCGTGTGTGTGTGTGTGTGTGTTTCGATGCTGAAATTCCTCAGGCACCCTGGAAGTGCGATTGATGGGTTGCCGAGATTTACTGGAAAGGGTCCCCGGCCGTTCCCAGGTGGCGAGCGCCACGCCCCTCTACGGAAGCCCCAGCGCCTCGAAGCCCTTGACTCGTAGCTGGGTTGCCATGAACCGTCCCGGCCGCGGCGCCGCGGGAAAAGAAGTCCCGCCCGAGGACTCGTGCAGTGAGTGTGACGATTCTTTCTTGGGGTTCTTAGTTTGTGTGTGTTGTTTTGTTTAGGTTTTTAATTATTATTAATTTTTAAAGTTGGTTGAAAGTCTCTTCCGTAAGGGGAATGCAAGACCGTTAAAGCCCTATTTTGAGAGTACTTTTCAAACACATATTTTTAAAGAAGGGAACTATTTAGGGGCCCTTCCGGCTGAATAGCTGATAGGTTGGGAGATCGAATCCCTGCCGCTGGGTCTCCTTTGAGGCAGGGGCTGGAATACATGATCCACAGGGTCCCGTCCCTGCTGTGCTCTTCTAGAGGGGGGTGATGATGATCACTTAGGTCAGCGGGGCCCTATGAAGAGCCGCTGTGTCATGTTTCTTTTCTGACACAATCCAGGAGAGGTCCTTGCCGTGCTCAAGGTAGACAACAGGATGGTGGGTCAGACAAACTGGGCACCAGTTCATCAGCAAGCGTGGGACCAGTTCTTTGTCATCGACCTGGAAAGAGTAAGTATGTGTACGGGCCCAGACGAACTGGGCACCAGTTCATCAGCAAGCCTGGGACCAGTTCTTTGTCATTGACCTGGAAAGAGTAAGTATGTGTACGGGTGGGAGGGGTGGGCGTGATTCCTTGGAATCATGGAAATTTTTACAAGATGGAAGACTGCCACTGATCTTGGCAGGGGGAAACGTGGCCCTTCCTGTGGACGGCTGCAAATCAGGTCGTCTTCTAAGCGCACTGTGGGTTTTGAACAGTCTCTAAGGGGAGCCCATCGTGTAGCACATGGCAGTAGTCTAGACAAGGTCAGACAAGAGCGCCGGGAATAGGCTGTCTTTGTAAGCCGAAGGGCCGTAGCCGCCTTAAAGGTTTTTCTGACGTCTTTGCAGTCTCGAGAGCTGGAAATCTCCGTCTACTGGCGCGACTGGCGGGAGCTGTGCGCCGTGAAAGTCTTACGCCTGGAGGACTTCCTGGATAACAGCTGCCATGGCATGTCCGTCAGTCTGGAACCTCAAGGGACCCTCTTCGCAGAGGTACAAGGGCTGGGCGTCCACCTCCCCCAGCGGGGGTGCAGTCCTTACAGAGATTTATTTGAATGAGGTGTATTTATCAGAACTGGCCACTAGAGCGGGAGCTGTGCGCCGTGAAAGTCTTACGCCTGGAGGACTTCCTGGATAACAGCTGCCATGGCATGTCCGTCAGTCTGGAACCTCAAGGGACCCTCTTCGCAGAGGTACAAGGGCTGGGCGTCCACCTCCCCCAGCGGGGGTGCAGTCCTTACAGAGATTTATTTGAATGAGGTGTATTTATCAGAACTGGCCACTAGAGGGTGATGGAAAGGGGCTGGGCATCCACCTCCCCCAGAGATTTATTTGAATGGGGTGTATTTATCAGAACTGGCCACTAGAGGGTGATGGAGACCATGTATTTTTCGTGTTGAAGAATACATAGCATGGTCTCTGCTACCCTCTAGTGACCAGTTCTGGTAATACATTCTGAAAATTAAAATTTCTGGATTTTTTTCCCTTTTACCACGCTATGTATAGTGTTTGCTACTGAAAATAAATATTTCTGGATTTTTTCTTTTCTTTTGCCATGCTATGTATAGTGTTTGCTATTATCTGTGGTTTTCATCCTCCACAAGAGACTGGGATCCAATCTTGTGTGGAGAGAGGGGCCCTACTGTATTTGTGAAATATTGGATGCAGTTTGCTCAAAGGTGGCACTCCAGGATGTCGAGTCGCCCCGTTTGCTTGGACATCTGGGGATGGAATCCGGAACCTGTTCTTCACAGATTATGGGATCTACCACTAAGCTATGGCCCTTTGCTGAGGGACCCATCCGTTTCAAAAGGCTTTATATTCTCCCGCTTGCCCGCTCCTTTGCAGATAACGTTCAAGAACCCCGTGTTTGAGACCCGCTCCAAGCTGCAGCGCCAGAAGCGCATTTTCCCGAGACAAAAAGGTAAGCATAAGTCGAGAGACGCACCTTTTGGAAAAGCTGGACTCTGCCTGGAATGCCCGAAAAGTAGAGGCCGGAATCCAGCTGAGAATTTCTCCCGCATAAATGCAGTGGATTAATTTGGCCCGGCCGATGGTCTCTTATCTACTGATTCACTTATCCACGGTCTGAAAATATTAAAATACGAATCCTAGAAATAGATCTTTCTAACAATGAAATTCCCAGAACTGGCCACAAGAGGGAGCCAGAGACCATGGTATGTATAGCATTTGCTATTAAAATAGCGTTCTCTATATTCCGCCTTTTTCAGCATCCACGGGAGGGTGGACTTGGAACCGATCATCAACAAATACAGGGGTCGTACTGTAAATGATTTTTCTGCAGGGAAGGAGTTCCTCCGAGCCTCGCAGATGAATATCAACATTGCCACCTGGGGGCGCTTGATGATGAGCTTCCTGCCACCCTGCAGCTCCCTAAATACCCTGAGCCCGCCTTTTCGGGTCCCCGCGCATCCGAACAGCACCACGACAGCCCCTTCTGAAAGTCCGGGAGCTTCCTCGGCCAGGTAAGCTGTGCTTTCTCAGCCATGTCGACGAGCTTAATCGGTGGCTGTTGCCTTGCAAGCGAGCATCATCATCATCATCATCATCCTCTTAGAACTGCGGTGGCATTTTTGCTGGCTGGGATTGGAGCCCGTGGTTGTCTTCGGCCTCGTGAGGGCTAAAAGAGCGTGGCTGGCTTCGGTGGCTGCGCCGTTTGATCTCGGTGGACCGCGGGCGTCGTAGGCGGCCGTCCCTCAGGCAGCAAAAACCCACGGGCCACCCTCTGCGCCAGGCGAGGCAGCGTTACCCGGGGGGGTGCAGGAGGTGAAGCCGGGTCTTTCTTAAGGTGCAAAATTGAGCTTTCGCCGAGGGTCCTGTGATACCACCCTCATCTTTCTGGTCTCGCGTCGAAGATCTGAGATGTGACCCCATTAAAAGATAATATATTTTATCCCAAACGCAGCCGTGCGCCGGTGGCGAAACTGGCTTTTGACGATCAGCCTCCTCCCAAACCGCCGCGCCTCTTCCTGCACACGTTTCCCAAAGGCCTGGACCGGTCTCTGACGGAGCACGGGGTAAGGTTCTGGGGGGCCATCGGGTCTGGGTCGGTCTCGTTTGCGACGGAAGAGTGGTCGTCACAGCCTCAAAACTCCCATCTAGAAGATGGGAATGACTCCAAGTTTCATGTACCTGGGGGTGGAGCCTTGTGGTAGAGGGGCAGGGCCTATGCATAGAGGGCGGAGCTTATATATATATGCTCTGCATGCATGTTTGTATGATGTATGCATCTGTGTGCTTGTATTATTATTATTATTATTATTATTGTTGTTGTTGTTGTTGTTGTTTTGTTGTTGTTTTGTTGTTTTGTTGTTGTTGTTGTTGTTGTTGTTGTTGTTGTTGTTATTAT